TCTTTTTGAAAAGGGTTCTCTGTGCACCAAAAAGGGATCTTCTACTGTGACAAGCTTGTCATCGTAACAACCCTTTTCAAAAAGGTTCTATATAGAACCATATACAGCACGTTCTCCATCAATCTGATGAACCATTTCATGATGCAAAGAACCCTTTAATCATGCAAAGTTCATGGGTGTTCATGGTTCTATATAGTACCAATTTCATTACTAAAGAACCCTTGAAGAACCATCCTTTTTAAGAGTGTAGTCTAAGGTCAGACTGAGAAATTGGAGGACAAAATAATGGAATTTTGTGAGATTCACAATGTTTTTGTGTAAAGTGTAGAGACTTTAGATTTATGGGTAAAATTTAGTAGAAAATGACTCAGCAAGCTTCTTATTCAAACAGTTCTTAAATCTTGTAAAATACAGCTAGTTGAAAAAGTGAAGAAATTCTGTCACAAAAATAGTGGAGAAATTCCACTTTTGTCTAAATGTTTGTCTCTAAATTTTGACTTTTTAGCCTAAAACCAAAAGTATAAGTCTTGGTCATTGAAAATGGCTGAAAGTTCCACTGGGCCCCTAGCAGATTTAGGCAAAAATGACCCCACCAGGTGGTCTTTGAAAAAGAAATATTGTTTTATTTACACTGTAAAAAAATATTGTTTTCACATAAAATATTTAGTGTTCGGGCCACCTTAAAATAGTAAGTTAGCAGAACAAGCATCTGTGTTATATGCCCTATTATCTTATTATTTTTCAAAATTCAACTCAAAATTTCAAGGCAGCCCATACACAAACTTTTTAAACTTAAAACCCCGAATTTTCTGCAGTGTTAGGACCCCCATGGTGTATATGACTTGAAATGGCTCTTATAATGAATTATTTCTTACTCATAGCTCATTGAGACAAATAGAGAAACAGGCCACTGTGGAAAAGCCAGATTTTAAACTTTCAATCCATACCACATTTGTGATTGAAACTACTACATAATGAATTGTGTAATTATGAATTAATTGATGAATAAAGTAATTAATGAATGAAAACATTTATCATCTCTTTGGCCAGCGCAAAACGTTAAGTTATTTCATAATAAATATTGGAATCTAAACATTTTTACCAGTATTGATATCCTGTGTTTGAGATATTTTTGATAAAATGATCAGTTTCTGTTCTTTAGTTTGATATTAGCTTTAGTCTAAATTTAAACAGCAGCTACTTCAGGACACTGAAGACTTTTACTGTGTAGACGAGGAAGAAACCTAACCATTCACAACAGCACACATCAGTTAGCAGACATAGAATAGAATAGAATAGAATAGAATAGAATAGAATAGAATAGAATAGAATAGAGCTACTTTCAGGACTGAAATTCTGGACAATAACAAATGCTGCGAGTTTGAAGGAAAAGTCTCGGTACAAGACGATGTGGAAAAAGAGACCATATGTCTTCTACAGCAAATAATGATAATGAATATGACAATTATAAATAACTATCCATACTAAATAATATGGAAAAAGACATTAAAATAGGGGCTTTGACCACACATATATATTTCAATTTCTTAATTAGGTTGGACCATGTGGCCAAAGACCCTATTTTAATGTCTTAATGTATCATGCATATCATGAAGACTTTGATCCATATCACCAAAGCTTTGTCCCAAACACCATAACATTTAAATCAGAACATTAGGAAATGACCAATTTTGGCCATATTACCAAGCCCTACTCACCGTCCACTAACTCCGTCCCGAACACCATCCCCTGAGCCCCCGACACCTCCAGGCAGTGGACGAGTGAATCTCTACGGAGGTTAAAGTTGATGAGCGCTGCCTCCACGCCCACTTTGGCCAGTCCCAGCCACAAGGCCACCATGAGAGGCCGACCCTCCATGAACACCGCCACCACGTCCCCAGCCTTCCATCCCTGCTCGAGCGCCCAGCGGCCCACCGCGTTCGAGCGCCTGTCCAGCTCAGAGAAGCTCCACACCTCCCCTGTAGCCTCCTCCACCAGAGCGGGTTTGTCCGGGTGCAGCGCCACTCGCTCGGCGAAGATGGATGGCACGGTGCTGCCGCAGCGCAGGTAACGACGAACGATACACTTCACACGAAGCAGCACGTACAGACCACTGGGGGGTCCGGGGGGGTTAAAAACAGAGTAAAGAAGAGAAGAGAAATAAGGAGAGAGGAGTTTTTTCAGATGACAGTGATGATACATATATAACAATGTGTCATGTTTATGTGTGTATATATATATATATACATATACATATATATATATATATATATATATATATATATATGATATGCAGTGATAAGAAAATCTATAAGAAAGTACGGAGAAAAAAAAGAGAGAAAGAAGAAAGAGCAAAAAGAGAGAGGCTGAGGTAGAGTCAGAAGAGAGCATGGGAGAGATGAGAAGCGAAGAGAGAAAAAAGGACAAGACAGAATAACAAGACAGAAAAGAGGAGAAATATAAGAGGAGAAAAGGATTGAAAGAGAAAGACAATAAAACACATTTACACAAAGAAGAACAAGAGAAGAAAGAAGCAAGAAGAAAAGTATAGAAGGCAAAGACTGAAAAAGACAGACAAAGAGCAAAAGATATATATATAGAGAGAGAGGAAGGAAAAGAGAGAAAGCGTGAGAGAGAGATAGAGAGAAAGAGAGAGATGCATTCTGACCTCAGGTCTCTCTTGATGGTGCGAGCTGTGGTGTTGATGAACCTCCAGCCTCCTGAACCCAAATACACTCCAAGCCCTGCTGCAACACTCCAACACCAGGACACACCCAGAAACCTCACAACACCTACTGAGACCACCGACAACGGAACACGAGCACTGATCACTCCATCCATCCTGCGGAAGAGAGAGAAGAGAGGGTAAAAGAGAAAATAACAGGTAAGATTAAAACTGAGGAGAAACAAGAGAAAAGCATGCATTAGAGGATATTAGAAAGGAATGAAATAAATGAGAAAAAAGAACAGAAGAGAAGAGGTTGAAAAAGATCAATAGACAAGTTATGAGAAGAGAAGAGAAGAGAAGAGAAAAGAAGAGAACGAGAACAAAAGAGAAGAGAAGGAAATAAGAGAAAATAAGAGATGAGAAGAAAATGAGAGAAGAGACGAGAAGAGAAAAGAAGAGAAAAGAAGAGAAGGAAATGAGAGAAGAGAAGAGAAGAGAAGAGAAAAGAAGAGAAGAAAATGAGAGAAGAGAAGAGAGGAGAAAAGAAGGAAATGAGAGAAGAGACGAGAAGAGAAGAGAAGAGAAAAGAAGAGAAGGAAATGAGAGAAGAGAAGATAGGAGAAGAGAAAAGAAGAGAAGGAAATGAGAGAAGAGAAGAGAGGAGAAAAGAAGGAAATGAGAGAAAAGAAGAGAAGAGAAGAGAAGGAAATGAGAGGAGAGAAGAGAAGAGAGGAGAAGAGAAGAGAAGGAAATGAGAAGAGAGGAGAAAACAAGAGAAGGAAATGAGAGAAGAGAAGAGAGGAGAAAAGAAGGAAATGAGAGAAGAGAAGAGAGAAGAGAAAAGAAGAGAAGAGAAAATAAGAGAAGGAAATGTGAGAAGAGAAGAGAAGAGGAAAGAAGAGAAGAGAACGGAAGAGAAAAGAAGAGAAGGAAATGTGAGAAGAGAAGGGAAGAGAAGAGAAGGAAATGAGAGAAGAAAGAAGAGAAGAGAGAAGAGAAGGAAATGAGAGAAGAGGAAAGAAGAGAAGAGAACGGAAGAGAAAAGAAGAGAAGGAAACGTGAGAAGAGAAGAGAAGAGAAGAGAAGAGAAGAGAAGAGAAGAGAAGGAAATGAGAGAAGAGAAGGAAATGAGAGAAGAGAAGAGAGGAGAAGAGACGAAAATGTGAGAAGAGAAGAGAAGAGAAGAGAAGAGAGAAGGAAATGAGAGAAGAGAAGAGAAGAGAAGAGAAGAGAAGGAAATGTGAGAAGAGAAGAGAAGAGAAGGGAGAGAAGAGAAGAGAAGAGAAGAGAAGAGAAGAGAAGGAAATGTGAGAAGAGAAGAGAAGAGAGAAGGAAATGAGAGAAGAGAAGAGAAGGAAATGAGAGAAGAGAAGAGAAGGGGAGAGAAGAGAAGGAAATGTGAGAAGAGAAGAGAAGGGGAGAGAAGAGAAGAGAAGAGAAGAGAAGAGAAGAGAAGAGAAGAGAAGAGGGAAGAGAAGAGAAGGAAATGTGAGAAGAGAAGAGAAGAGAAGAGAAGGAAATGTGAGAAGAGAAGAGAAGAGAAAAGAAGAGAAGAGAAGAGAAGAGAAGAGAAAAGAAGAGAAGAGAAGGAAATGTGAGAAGAGAAGAGAAGAGAAGAGAAGGAAATGAGAGAAGAGAAGAGAAGAGAAGAGAAGAGAAGAGAAGGAAATGTGAGAAGAGAAAAGAAGAGAAGAGAAGGAAATGAGAGAAGAGAAGAGAAGAGAAGAGAAGAGAAGAGAAGAGAAGGAAATGAGAGAAGAGAAGAGAAGGAAATGAGAGAAGAGAAGAGAAGAGAAGAGAAGAGAAGAGAAGAGAAGGAAATGAGAGAAGAGAAGAGAAGGAAATGAGAGAAGAGAAGAGAAGAGAAGGAAATGAGAGAAGAGAAGAGAAGGAAATGAGAGAAGAGAAGAGAAGAGAAGAGAAGGAAATGAGAGAAGAGAAGAGAAGGAAATGAGAGAAGAGAAGAGAAGGAAATGAGAGAAGAGAAGAGAAGAGAATAATAATGCAAAAGAATTAATTCCAAAAAGCGAAACAGTGAAGAATACAGAAAGCAGAGGGAACAATAAAACTCAAACTGAAAGTCAGTGTGATTTAATTGCTCTGTTTGCAGCACAAACACAACAAACACCACACATACAGTTACTACACACCATTACACACGAGGACCAGTTCACCAGAGTGCTATTATCATTATTATCATTATTATTATTATTAATATTAATAATATCATCAAACATGTCCTGCAAAGCTGCTAGAACAAACTTCCATTCACATGTTCACATTAGCACTCAGTCTGGGAAAGACTCTCTCTCTCTCTCTCTCTCTCTCTCTCTCTCTCTCACACACACACACACACACACACACACACACACATACACATTGTTGTCCACACTCACCCTGTCTCCTGGTCTCTGTGCTGTTCCTCTGTCCCCTCACTTCCAAACAGCTTCTCACACAAGACTCCCCCAGACTTCCCTCATCAGCACACAGCTCTGATTGGCTCAGAGAAAGCCACGCCCACTACCCTAACTCAGGCCCCTCCCCCCCGACTCATAAGGGCCCTCCTGTTATTCCTGACTGCTTTCTGCAGCCCGACGTGTTTGAACCAGTAGGATCATTTCTTCAGCATATACAGTCACTCTAACACTCACAGCAGTCTGGAATAACAAAACAGCACGGCCCCGCTGAGGTGGGGGGGCAGGACAATAGACGGGGCGCTACCTATTAATTTTAGATTATTTATTATTATTATTTAATTAAAAATCGCAAAAAACAAGAACACACTTGTGTAAAAACAACAAAGCTTCTGTTTTAGCACATTCTGATTTTCGTCCGATTATTCTTTACTCATGTACTAACAGACTACATGTAATCTGGATTATGTAATCTAATTATAATGGACACATACAACAATGCTAATATGTGTCATTTAATTACAGTTATTGCTTTACTCTATTTAATGACTACATTTTTGACTGGGAAGTCTCAATGAATCATACTGAGAATGTATAATAGCCGTGTGACTGATAGCAGTTACGGAAAAAAAAATCTTAAAAAAAAATATTCTTCAAGGGTTCTTCAGTAAAGACAATGGCTCGTCATAGAACCATGGATGCTCAAGGAAACATTTGCATGCTTTAATGGCTCTATATAGCACCATAAAGGGTTCTTCCTGAGTTACAAGGCTGACATCGTAACAATAGGATGTGCTATAAAGAACCCTTTTCAAAAAGCTTCTACACGGAACCACATACAGCACATTCTCCATCAATCTGAAGAACGATTTCTCCATGCAAAGAACCATTTAAGCATGCAAAGAGGTATTTGAGTGTTCATGGTCCTACGTAGAACAATTGTCTTTACTAATAAAACCCTTGTGGAACCCTCTTTTTTAAGGGTGTATACACGTAAGCACAGACCCCTTAATGCAGGGGTCGCAACCCAAATGTTAAGAAGAGCCATTTTGTCCTTTCAATAAAAATCAAACCACCTTGGGAGCCACAACGTTTTATGTCCATCTTACCATCTTGGCTGTAAATATGTCTCAGTATGTGCTGATTTACTAGTATAGACTAAAAAATATAATATAAATGAAAACACAGACTTACTTTGCTCTGCTTTAAGCTTTAGCTCAGCTATAACTGCTTTTCTCGCATCTCTAGCAGGAAACTTTTCCACAAAAGTAGAACAGTTTCTTGTAAAATGTCTCTCAACGTTCACCTTTTTACGAGGCTGAAGTTGCTACTCATTCGCCAGCTCTTGTTTACCGTTCCACCTTAAATGGTGCCTGAGGTGCCAGAATGTTACTGCTGCAGCATTTAAGGTGGAACGGGAAAATTCAGAACAGGAAAATGACTTCAGCTTCGCAATTTTTAGTGTTTGACAGTTTCTTGTTTCAGATTAAACGTATCAGGAAACCAGCTGGAGTGATTATAAATGCAAACAAGTCCATTCGTCTCCAAATTAACAATGTTCATCTTAAATCTTTCTCTTTGCTGTTTCGTTAGCTACTAGCTAGGCAAGACTGTTGTCTGTGTTGCTATGGTGACAAGCAGTCTGTGCTGATCTTCAGGGTTAAAGGGTGAATTAGCAGTTCTACATTAATTCCAGTGTTTAAGTCCATTTACTGTTAAACTGTGTTGAATTATCAGCAGAGCTTTATTTTACTGTAAAGGAGGATTATTTTATTTTTACCTACAAATCTGATTCGGTAAGAATTTTAAATTGTTCTTTGATGTCTACATAGAAGGTATGTGTCTTTGGTCTGGCTGAAAAATCCTATGCAAACCCTATGATTTGGCTCTGGAATGAAACAAGCTGTTTTTACCGTTTTTGGGGGCTGATGAATAATCTGATGAGCTGTGCTCTGATTGGCTGGTTTACAGTGAGGCATTGCGATGGCTCACACAGAAGCAACATGTCAAAATAGACAAAGGCAGGAAGATGAAACAGACCTCTGTGTTAGCAGCTAACGCTACCTACACTGGCTACTTGCTTTCACTCACAAAGCTATAAAGCTTTCAGTTTAAGATGATCTGCCTGAGCCATCAGAAAGTGGACAAAATCACACAGCATGGCTGCTTTCAGGCTGCTGTTGGGGCTGTGACGCTAATAAAGGTGGAACTGCCCCTCCGTCTCTTCAGGGTCAAACGCTGAGCGAAGCAGATATTGATTGGTATGATATTGATATGCTTGATATTGTCCAAAGTTTGAGAAACTGTCTGGAGTGAAATGTGCAGAGCGAACTATTTTGAATTGAAGTTGTCTGGAATCCTGTTAAAGATGTGGGAGCTGGTTCCTGTACAAGCTGTAGCATGTATGGTGGAATGGAATACTCGCTTAAGAAGCTGGTGAATAGGAAGCCAACTTCAGCCTCGCTTGAAGATCAGCATCAGCCCGCTGACCTTGGTTGGGCCTTCAGAAAGAAAGTTGAAGGTTCTCTGGAAAGGTATAAAAAGTGCCGACATCCCTTCACAGCCTGGAACGGTACATTTTCTTGGCGTTACTCCGTTGTTGTTTGTAAATGTTTGGGGTGTAAATTACGTAGCAGTTTATGGTCTGTAGAATGACCCTACGTAAACGTCCACTTTTCTATCTCTCCATATGAGACACTAGTGTTACCAACCCTCACTGGTGTTACACGTAATAAAGGTGACACCAGAGACATTTTTAACGAAAAATGCATTTAACATATTATCTGCTGCAGAGCATCAAACCACATGTTCTCAATCATAGAACATCCACTAAAATATGGAATTTAATCCATTTGTATAATATTTTTTCACAGTTACCTCAGAATAAAGTCGGTCACACCAGTGACTTCAGCTAAAAGCTTCATATGAAATCATGAGCTAAATGAGAAAATCTCTGCTAACTGAAAGACTCAGTGGACTCACCATGAGCTTTTCTTCATAGATCCTCAGAAAACAGGTAAAAGGAAGTCGAGTGATGTCATCAGTGTGATTTTTATTTCAAAATAAGAGATTTTTTGTTACGCGGTAACACCAGTGACACGACTCCTGGAGACAACAACTTTCATTCTATATTTTATAATATTTATTTGGCATTTTTTTTGTCATTTAAATTATATGTTCCGTAGTCATCTATAGATTATTGTAGTTAAAGTTGCAGAAAAACTTTTTTTTCTTCAAAATATGGCCTCAGCCTTTACACACGACTGTGGGGAGAAGCACTTCTGTAGTGCTTGGAATTCTAGATAATTGATTTAAAAACCAATATTGCTTTATTGGTAGCTGAAGAGGTGCAATTGTTTAACTAAATTATTGTTTTGTTTGAAAATGTAAAAAAAAATGTAAAAAAAAAATATTTTTTTAAGTGTAATATATCTAGGGACACAAAAATTTACATTTCTGTAGAATGACCCATATACAGTTTTCCATTCTATGGCACCTTAAGTTTAGCTCGGCCACAGCTATCTATATCTTCTATCGTCTAGATGAGCTATCGTCTCTGACCTTACATCTACAAGGTGAACCAACAAGGAAGGGGTGTCTAATTGAGTGGACAGTGATTTTGGACAGCGTTTAAAAACTTCAGCAGCATCACTATGTCTTCTCATATCACCCTAGCCTGACCAAACACTCCACACAAACACACACATTTACATGCACTCCATCCACAGCACAAATACATGGCACTGTGCAAAAGTCAGAGACCAAAATGAAATATGAAAACATATATTTAACAAAAATCCACAGAAGCCTTTACTATTAATAATAATAAGAATGTAATAAGAAGAAATATAATAGAAAAAGTGGAAAGTTCATTGGACATTCATGCTAACTCACTTTATATGATATAAATAATTTTGTTTTGTTTTAGAAACTCTGGATCTGGAAGTGCCCCAATTTCCTCCCCAATCATTTCCAGTTCCACCCACTAGTTAAGACTCCCCCAAACACATGATACCACCAGCGCTAGGAGGGCAAAGGCTAGCACAGACTTGGATGCGCTCAGAGGAGAAAGCTAACCGCCAGGTCTGTTACATCAGCTAACAGACGCCTGTGCTGACTAGCATTGTGTGACCAGTTGTGCTCTCTTGGACTGCCGGTCACGGACGGCTGTAGCATCATCAGGGATAGAACTTGTGATCTCCTGAATATTCTTTTTAGACTTGTTTTTATGTGTTAATTTTGCTTTGTATTAGAAGCTCTGTATATTATATACACCGATCAGCCATAATATATAAACCATAAAACAGAACAATCACCTCACAAAAAGCCCCAACGTTCACAAGAACACTAAACACATCACAAAAACTCTTCTATCTGACGGTACAACTTACAAATCAATACGTTCTTTAGCTGACTAAACAACGTCCAAAACAAACACACATACAGGTCTCAGTTTAAACTCATTCAACTTTCATTAGTGCCGTATATCTCTGCGCTACTATATGCTAATGCTGTTCTGTAAACACTTCTAAACACAGGCTAGCTTTTCCACATATCCTATAATTATGCATTTCAAAGCAACATAGCTCTAGTTTGGACATTGTAGATAATCTATTTAGGGCTATCTGAACAAAGAGTGGTGGAACGCAACACTGTGATCAATGACGCCAAACCAGAGGTCTGAGTGTTTGTCAATAGAGGGAGCGATCCAAGCAAGAGCACTCGGCCTACATTCTGGGTGACATTCAGCCAATGAAGTTACCTATAAAAGTAAACACCATGTCATCAGTGATGGCTTATTCTTAGAGCTTCGAGTTCATCACACTCTAACAGCCTTTGTCCCCATTTTTCAAGATCTCAGTCGGCAGTTCTGCTGCTCTGGGAAGTAGATTTGAGCGATGACGCTCTAAGAAATTCTGGATCTTCATCTTAAGACTTTTCTTTTTAGATGTGTTTTTATAAATTGATTTTTGTTTTAAGAAATTCTGGGTATCTTTTTTTTTAAAAGAATCTTAAGACTTTTCTTTTTTAGACGTGTTTTTATAAATTAATTTTGTTTTGTTTTAGAAATGCTGATTTTTTTAAGAAGAATCTTATGATTTTTTCTTTTTTTGAGACATGTTTCTTATGAAATAATTTTGCTTTGTTTTAGAAACTGGATCTTTTAAGAAGAATCTTAAGAGTTTTCATTTTAGATGTGTTTTTATAAATTAATTTCTGTCTTGTTTTAGTAATTCTTGCGCCCTTTTCTTAAGAAGAATCTGGAGACTTTTCTTTATAGATGTGTTTTAATAAATTAATTTTTGCTTTAAGTAACTCAGGGTCTCTTTTTCTTAATAAGAATCTTAAGACTTTTCTTTGTAGACCTGCTTTTATAAATAAATTTATAAGTAATTCTGCGCCCTTTTCTTAAGAAGAACCTTAAGACTTTTCTTTTTAGACATGTTTTTATAAATTAGTTTTTGAAACTTTTGCTGGAACTTTTAAGAATCTTAAGACTTTTCCTTTGAGATATGTTTTATGGACTTTTGTTTTAAGATATTCTGGATCTATTTAGAATCTTCAGACTCTTCTTTATTTATACATGGTTTTATGAACTGAGTTGATGTTGTCATGAAAAGTATGCTATTTAAATAAATGTTATTACTATAAATGTATTATTTACCTATTACCCATCACTCTTCTGACAAATGCTTATACAAATATTATCTCCAGCACCTTTGATCAGTGCTTGCTCACAGGAGCTGCCCTTTATTGACAGATGAAGCAGTTATCCAGTGGATTCTTCTGTATTGGGTAATATTTCATGTGGGTTTAGTCATTATGTATGTTTATAACATTTTCATTACAGTTCTGAATTTTTGCATGAAAGGGCATGAATTTTTGCTTGAACGTTTTGTGGAAAAGACCTATTATTTGGCATGGAATGCTCCCGTTTGTGTATTTATATTTATGTATTACACAACATTATGATTTCATTTCTATTTTCATGAAGGAACCACAACTGAAGAATTTCATTGCAGTGTGTGGTTTGTTTACTCTGAGACTATGACAATAAATGAGAGTGTACTGTAGTGGAACTTCAGGTGTGGCAAATAGAACCAGACCTCATTTGTGTTCACCAGTCTGCCTCCCTGCCAGCAAGAAAAACAAAGAAAAAAACGACAACATATTTTTTTCATACTTTAATCAAAGCTGGAAAAGACATCAGTACCTAATCAGGGTTCGACCCTGAGCTTCATCAGAAGTGCAACCTCAAAACTAGAACTTCAAATATAAAAAATAACAAAGGTAACAAATCAAGTACAATAATTGCAGAAACAACCCCCACCGCCCCCCACCCCAAAAAAATGCAGAAAGTTTTTAAAAATAAAATAAAAACAGAAAACACAGAATTACTAACGATTCATTAGATGCTAATATCAATACAAACAAAGCTGACATTTCTCACAATACGAGACAATAAGAAAGAAAGTGCTCTGATAAAATTCAAATGAGAACAAACAGAAAAACAAGGATTATTTAGCATCTGTTGAACTGAATTGTGCTGATGTGGATTTTCGCTCCCTTTGAATTTTGTGACACTGACCACTTCACATATCAAATCCTTGAAAGAGGTATTATATTACTGAGAAATATAAAATGCACATTTTGTATAACATTCACAATAGCATATAAAGTAGAAAGGCAGGTGCTTGAGTCGTCCTCAGTGGACGTCTGTATTCTTATTATATAGATAGCTAGCAAAGTAACCAAGTAAGTTAAAATGTATATAGATTTTCAGACTCAAAAAATATCATAGATTTGCTCACATTTGCAATACAGACTCCTCTTTTGAAATAAATAAAGTTGTGAATTTTACGGAAGCACTTAAAAGCTTGTCTCTAGTTACGTAGGCTTTGTGTTTGTTGCTCCAAAAGTACCTTGAACGTCCTTTTATCACATTCGATTTATAATAACTGCAATTCTAATGTAATCTTTCATCTCTGAAGAATAACATGACAGACAGGAATAGCTCATCTTCAGTAATCAGCATCATACTAGACTAATGTTACAGTAGGGCATTGAGGGAATACTTTGCTACGTTTTTTTTTGCTTTTTCCTCAATTTTCCAGCACAGTTGTCTATGGAGAAAGAAATATACACTGCCTTTGTGAGTCATTAAGGCTGTGAGGAGATCTTATTATTCACCTTGGGTTCACAAGACAGCTTTTAAAGTCTTAACATATTATAAAAAGGTTGGACATCTCATACGATCTGATTGGTTTGTGCAGATTTTTTGGGGCGACTGAAATATTGAGGATCACACACTACTCAACTTTTAAGCTGTTGCTAAACTGAACGGACTCACTGAATTCGCGCCAACTCACGATAACTCTCGCGAACACTCACAAACTCTTGCATTCTCCCATTACTAGGTGACGCAAATAAACAAACATGATCTGCTGCTGCTGTTTTCTCTACCGTTTGCACTGACACAGTAAAGAAGCAGCAGGTAAACATGTTTAAGTGAGGGTCATGGATTAAAAATGTGATCAGTTGGTATTTTTTAGAGTGTTAAATGTACATAAGCTCAATTGTGCCTTAAACTCAGCTCATTAAAAAGCTTCGCCCCACACGTGAGAGACTTTTCACCATTTTTCTTTGTTTATTTGCTGTATTTTCTTCTTTCATGCTCTCTGTTTTCATTGGCTGTTGCAGGAGTCTTCAGATTGAGTCGTTGACCAGTTTACACTAGATTCAGGTCAAAAAAATCATGTTTGATAAATTCCAACTGGTCTGAAACGTGATCAGGAGGCAGTAAATCTGAGTCTGTGTCCCTCACTCATGACTCGATTCTCTCTTCAACTGTCGACTCTTACTGACCCAAAATCTGCAGACTAGAGCCGACCAGCTCAGGCTGAACCAGACTGAGAATCAGGGCTAAAATTCGGGTAAGAGTTATGTAGTGAACCCAAGGCTTTACACAACTGGTGGATTTTTCAAGCTCATTTTTCCACCTGAATGGAATAAAAACAACCTACAAATTCCCTCCAATCTGGTTGGTCACATGCGGTGGACTTTACACTGGGGAAAGGGGGGCCACCAGCGGCCAAAGACCCCATAAAAAGTACAAATCAGACATATGTATTGACATTAAGTAACTACTGCTGAAGTGTGACATACTCAGATGGCTGATATTATTATCACTACTGTCAATACTGTCAACTCTCACTGGGAAAACCAAAGTAAAAACTCAATTCTACATCACATAAAAAGTAGTCGTAATTCAGTTTTACAGGACAGTTCCTTTAAGACTGATTCATGTAAATGTCCCCTGTTCTGATTGGCTGCTGTATTGTGGCTCATTCAAGACACAGCCCAAGCTGAAACACTCCTTATAACTTCAGTGTGAACAGGTGGGGCTAAACTGCACAAAAAACAATGAATCCAAAATCCGTACGCATGTATGGACTGTGTGGATTGGGAACAGTATGTTTTGAAAACAGTGCTTATTTACCACATCAAATTCTTTATATTTTAAAAAAGTGGTTTTCTGTGCATGTGTCTACATGCAGACCAAGTGAGTCAATCACCCATCTAGGCAAGCTAAAAGAAGAAATACAGTTGTTGAAACTGGCAGCGAGGGGCCATTTTCAATCCATACGTCGGACCCCACTGCCTGAACGGAACACGTGCCGAAGCCCTTTTCCGGCTGCTGTGAATAGCTAAAGAGCCATTAGCTGACGAGTCGTCTTGTTGCTGGAAAATAAACTAACATACAGCTTGAAACGTTTAGCACTTGCGAAGCTCCACGAAGGTGCGGCGAGTTCTTCATATCTGCGACTCTCCTGTGCTGGGAGCGCTCCTGAGAGGCTTCTGTAAAGGACAGAAGATCAAACATTTGTTATGTGTGTTATTTGTTAGCGCGACAGCAAAAAATGTAACAAAGGACGTCTTTTTCACTGCCCCATTTACATTACACACAGACTCATGTACATACTAGCACACATATATACACACATATTAGCAACTACCTGGGATACCATAGCAATGGCTTAGCAACACCGTAGCAACCACTGTGCATGTAGAGCAACAGCCCAGCAACACATTAGCAACCACCTGGGATGACTTAACTACAGCCTAGCAGTACCTTAGCAACCACCTGAAATAGTACAGCAATGACCTAACAACACCTCAGCAACCATTGTGGATACCAGAGCAACAACCTAGCAACACCTTAGCAACCATCTGGACACCATAGTTACAGCCTAGCAACATCTCAGCAACCACCAGTAATTTAAAAAAAAATCGCTTAGCAACACGTTAGCCACCACCTGGGATGACATATCAACAGCCTAGCAGTACCTTAGCATCCACCTGAGATAGCACAGCAATGACCTAACAACACCTTGGCAACCTCCTAGGATAGCATAGCAACAGCCTAGCAGTACCTTAGCAACCACCTAAGACAGCACAGCAATGACTTCACAACACTTTAGTAACCACCTGGGATGACACAGCAGTAGCCTAGCAGTACCTTAACAACCTCCTGGGATAACATAGCAATGGCCTAACAACACCTGGTAGTGCATGTCAACAGCATTGTCAAGTGTTGTAAAGTTAAATTTTGTCCATAAACGTTCCCCTTCCAATTATTATTATTATTATTATTATTAATTATAATAATAATAATATTATTATTATGATTATAAGTAGTAGTAGTAGTATATTAACAGTGCAAGAATTTAATCACCTTAGTCAAGTTACGTTTACAGGTGTGTTTAAATGCTGCTGTGCTCCACCGAACCCAATGCTAACCAGAACCTCCGCAACCAAAACATGAACTTCTTCTTTTACTTTTTCTAATAGCAGCTGCAGTTTTTGAGGAACGTCCCTAAACTACTAAACGCTCATGTTCTCGTCATCCTGAAGGAA